TTTAATATTTGTTACAAAATGTTTGAGACCTCAAACAAGGGACTGTTGGGGCTCAAACAACCGCATGAAATCAATTACAACAACATTCCGCCGCGCGTCGTGGAGTGTGGACCAGTCGACGCAGCATCCAAGCGCGTTCAGGCGCGTAGTAATCGCATCCTTGTGGGATTTGTCAGCAGTCAGCATCGTAACAGCAGGGACAGTTCATGCAGAAGGAGTGCTTGACTTCTGAGGGAGTTAGTTCATTTGGACTGAAGAACATCATTACTGAAGAGAAAACGATTGCGCGACCTTCAAGGTGAGTTTTATATTTAAATATTTGGTGTTCTTTTTTACTACTTAACATAAAACACGTGACCAACAGATTTGATGTGTATAACAATTTATAAACCAGTTTAGTAATTATGAAAAACTTGGGGCGCTTTTTTGCGTTTGTCATTTTTTTAAGTGCAAACTTATGGCAAGCCATTTATTTAACGTTTTCTTTCATCTTTTATTTATTTAAATATCTTTTTATGTTACTTGTACTTTTTCATTAGTGACTAACGTTAGTATTTATTCCCTTTATACACTATCCCAATAAAAATAAGTAGGCTAAGTTTTGTCATTTGCACTGACTAGTCATAATAGCTACTTTATATGACCTCGTAATGAAGCTAGTAACATCGTGTCCTAACTACACGCGACGCCGCGACAAGCGATAAAAAGTATCTTTTCCATGTTAATCTTAGTTTTTGTCATAACCAGCTGCGACGGCGACACGCGAAGCTTCTATTTTAGAGGCTGGGTAATCTCAGGTAGGCTACTGATTATGTGTATGGCAAGCCGTTTTAACATTTAATCTGTAAGCCGTACTAGTATCTATTTTCATGGTACTAGTATCTATTTTTTAGATACTAGTATCTTTTCCATTAAGTACTAGTACTTATTCATTAGGTACTAGTGCTTATTCTTTAGCTACTAGTGCTTATTCTTTAGGTACTAGTGTCTTTTGTAAAGTTACTAGTACTTATTCATTAGATACTAGTACTTATTCCAATAGTGACTAGTATTTAATTATACTCTTCTTGTTAAGGAAAAATAGAACTAGTACTTATTTTTTAGTTACTAGTAACTTTTTAGACCAGAGAAATCCTGAACTTAATAGATACTAGTACTTCTTAAATGAGCATTTCTGCCTGGTATGGTAATCGTGTGTTGAATATTAATGAGCCGGCACATATAGGAGAGAGATTAGACAAGAAACAGATACAAGAAGATGGATGTACTTTTTTGAGGAAACCACATAGAAAAGAAACAATTTTTGATGCTGCAGACAGTGAATGTGTTTACATTAATGCTCTGTACAGGTCACACTGGTGCTGCAGACAGTGAATGTTTTTACATTAATGCTCTGTACAGGTCACACTGATGCTGCAGACAGTGAATGTGTTTACATTAATGCTCTGTACAGGTCACACTGATGCTGCAGACAGTGAATGTGTTTACATTAATGTTCTGTACAGGTCACACTGATGCTGCAGACAGTATGTACTTTTACCACATAGAAAAGAAAAAAATTTTGATGCTGCAGACAGTGAATGTGTTTACATTAATGTTCTGTA